TTTCCTTCAATCTATGGTATTTATTACTTTTACTGATGCTCTCTGATGCCCTGTCAATGGCTAGCAGGAGCCTCTAAAAGTTGTTTCTTGAGTCCTTTGGTTACAGACTTGCTTGTCTTTGAGAGCTTCCCTTTTGCCTGGTATAAAAAGATATTCCAATCTAATATATATATATATATAGTCCCAGACCAGAATCAGCCATTTCTCTAAGAATTCCTGGTTCCTTTAGTGGAGAGCAGCAGTTTGAAACCACATTTTGACTGATTGGTGTGCCCTTTGCTGCCAGATTGGTCATTGTTTCTGGGCTCTTTCGATGGCTAAAACTAGGAAAGTAAGATAAATTAATTAATGAGTTCATACTGATATTTCTAACTCAAATTCAGGTTAACATGATTTTTACTTACACCTCTTTTTTATCTGTATCTTTTTCTCCTAAGTTGAAAACCCTATTTTTCAAGGATACTGGGGATAATAGTTATACTATCATATTATCATACATATTATCACATATATTATCATAGTATCATAAAATATACTACTCATTTACTTTATCACACATTATGTACCCAACCATCTCATATAGTACAACATTCTCACTAAAAATGTGAGTATTGCAAACAATGTAAACATTTTTCCACAGGTCTTTTGTCCTTAGAGATGGACAGTCAAATTACTATGTTTTAATGCCAATGCAATAGTGCCGATGCCACCAACTGGATACATATTTCGGTTAATTTGTTTAATTTCATTTTCCATTTTTGTGGATTGTTTTTTTAAAAATATTTTATTTTATTTTATAATTATATAACATGTTTACTTAGTTCTAAACTCAAATTTATAAAATGAGGCAGATTCGAAGACATCTAGCTTTCATCACTATCTCTTCCACCACTGTTTTTGCTATTATCATCTACGGAAAAATCTCATCACACACAACAGATCCCCTTGTGCTGTCCCTTTGAGAGTCATGCCATCCCATCCTCTAGCAATCACTGATCAGTTCCCTGTTCCTATAGTTTTGCCTTTTACAGAATATTATGTACATGGAATCATATGATATGTAGTTTTTGGTGTCTTCCTTTCGTTGAGCAAAAATGCATCTGAAGTTCATCTATGTTGTTTAGGTACCAAACAACTCGTTTTTGATGCTGAGTAGTACCCCGTTGCTCAGGGGTGCCACACTGAAATTAGTCTTTTCAAACAAGATCCCAGTGAGGGATATCTGGGGTGTACCTAGCCAGCTGTTTTTGGAGTTTGTCTCCTTTGTCGTGGCCTAGTGAATTCAGCCCTTTCTAACTCTCCAAACCAAATGATGGTGATTTGTTCTTATGTTCTCAGGGGTCTTGGGCAACATCAAAATAATTAAATTTCATATCCCAGAAGCTGACAAAACATCTTTGAAAGGCAACAGCTCCTTCATTCCTGTTTGCCTCTGAGTCGAGGTTCATCACATGTCCAAATGGCTGTTAGCACTAGAGGTGACATACACTGTTTGGAAACAGAGTTCTCAGCTTTTACTCGTATATTTCATGAGCAAACTCCTTTTTATTACCTTTGAATGATTTTTAGAATGGCTCTGGCCTCTACTCTGGGCTCACCTACAGCCACAGCTTGAAGATCTTTAGTAACACAGAGCAGAATGAACCCCTGCCCTTATGTGTCCAACACGTGTTAAACAGTCACCAGGAATAAGGCCCTGAGGATGTTTTCTGTTTAAGGGAGTTTCTTGAAAATAAACTTTTTACTTGGAAAAAAAAAAAAAAGGTCTTATCACTATTTCCATCCTTTCCCATTTCATTCCTTGATAACTTATATCTGTATTAACTCTGTCTCTCTGTCTCCAACTCTCTGTTTCTCTTCATTTATATACTACCCTCCCTCCTCACAGAACGAGTTTGAGATGGCTTAAGAAATGTTTAGAGGGTTACAAAAAAAAAAAAAAATGTGAGGAAACTAGGGTAAAAAGAAGATAAAAGCAGGAAAAACCCATTTTGTAAGGTCTGATAAACTCTCTCTTAGCGATGGGCCACAATTCTGGCTCTGAGTTTCCTAGCAAGCCAATTCAAAGAGAAAAACAAGGTTAGTTCCATAATCCACATTGTCTGTAGAATGTAAAGATAGTGTATACACACATACAAATACAAACACACGCGTCTGAGGCCTGACTGGTGTGGGTCTCACATTGGCACTGAGACCCACTGAAATTCCTTCAGTGAGTTTCATAAAACGATCATGTCATGATGTAGTTTCTCAGCAGCATCCTTGAGTCCCTTTGGCCATCGATCTTCTGCAGCAGCATCTCTCAAAGTGCGGTCCAAGGACACCTGTATACAACTCATCTAAGGAGCCTGTTCAAAATGCAAACTCCTTGGCCAGAGCAGACTGGAATTAGTCTTTTCAAACAAGATCCCAGCAGATTCTTACGCACTCTGAAGCTTGAGAGTTATCGCTTTATGGCCCCCACAGTTTAGAGATCAAGATCGCCCCAGCCTTGGGCTCCACACAAGTACGCTGAGTCCAGCGGTGCCCCAGCAGTGACCACCTGGAGTAGAACACTGTGCGGAATCTACCCGAGGGCTGAATCCAGAGCCCGGCACCTACTCGGTGGCCCAGAGTGTCTATGGGAGAAAAGCAGAAGAATGATGCGCTAATGTAGGTCTCTACCAAGAGCACCCTGACTTACCATGCTCCATTCTGTGTTAAACCATTTGGCCCCACAAGGCTTGAGGTGGCAAGATTGCTGGCTGGGGGGTCTCTCCAGGAAGGAACATTCATAAGGGTCCAGCACTTCGAAGGTGTCTGCATTCTTCCTAACACAAATCACTTCCCTCTGTTGGGTCCCACTCCCGCACTCGACGGAACACTGGAGAAAGAAGCAAAGAAAGTGTCACATGATGGAAAGGAGACGAGAACTACTGTCCATCGAGGGACATTAGTGAGTGTTTTCTGTCATCAGTTCACTGAGGAAGAGCCCACGGGCACTGGAAAACATTTCTGGAGGAGCAGTTGCCCACGAATTCCAATTTTCTTAACAGTTCTGAGTCTGGAGTAGGAGTGGGTACCCTGTTATCACAGCTTCAGGCTGCTGGTTGCTGAGATCCTGGTGCCCTCTGTGCTAAGTGTGAGATCATTCCCCCTTACACTCCCCACAGGAACATACCAGCCAGTCAAGTTGCTGGTTTCTGTCCAGTAGACTCGGACACCTGTCACTGTAAAACGATAAACTAACATTCTGGTTTATCTGCTGGTCCCCTAGTGGATGAACACTGGGGATGAATTAACTTCCCAGAGCCTGTATACCTGCGCATGAGGGCTAAGTTAAAATTCTTTGGGACATGAAAGCAGAGAAGATCTCAGATGTGGGACAATGTCCCCTATAGTAACCCCCCCCCACCCCGTTCACAACTGGGTGGCCAGCAGGAAGCCTTTTACCACAGAGTCCAATTCTCTCACTTCCTAACCTGCTGCCAAAGCTTGTTGGGGTGTGTCCCCAAAAGCCAGTCAGATAATTACACATGTTGGTGCATTTTGTTAGTTTACAGAAATATGTATATACCTGGTCATGAATCTATTACTTTGTAAAATATTTTTTGGATTACTTCTTGATTAAAAATTTAAAAAGCTGTGATCTATATACTTTTAGAGACTTTAAAGAATCTACTACCTTTATGGAAAGCCTGTAACAACATCTATAGCTGAAAGTCTTAATATCGGCCTTGCTTCTGTAGGCAGACACAGGTCAAATAAAACAAGAAAAAAACCCTCACTTCTCTGCCCAAACACACACACACACACACACACACGCACACACACCAAGCTAAGAGACTGAATTACTCATATAGGGCATAATAAGCATCATCATTAGCAGTTTCCGTTTTATGCCTTCTTTTTTGCCATCTTCTAGACATCCAGGAAACCTTTTAGGTTTGTTTTTCCTATTTTCTTCTATGTCGGTTAGTTTAGTTAGTTCATTTATTTGTGCTGGAGGTTGAGTCCAATCCCAGCATCACAGGCAGACTGGATTCAATCTATGTGATTTGTACAGTGTGTATTATGATGTTTCAGACATGTGTTTTCCCTGGATGTGATCTTTCTCATCTGTGTATAACAATGCACATCATAACATGTTAGTTGATTATCGATTTGATGTACATTCGTGTTTTGTCCTTTTCTTTCAAGTGCTGCCGACAATGAAAGAATCTGAGGCAGGAGAGGGGCAGTGGCTTCCAGGCAAAGGAGGAGTGAGGGTGCACGTGAAAGGTCCAGATGATGGCAGGAGCAGAACGCAGAGCTGGAGTCAGGAGACGGGGGACTAGTCTAGACAGCGTCAGTAAACAGTTCCATGTCTTTGGCCAAGACACAGCACTTTCCCAGGTCTCTATCATCTCACTTGCAAAGTGGGTTTGAAAACTTGATCTGAAAGACCCCTGACTGCTCTGAGGAGCTATGTCTGTACTGAGTGCCTGGCAGAATAGCAGACTGCAAACCTTGACCAAAATCTGGAGTTATTTTATGCTATGTTTGGAAAGTCCTTGAAGACATTAGGAATTAAGGGACAATGAGCACATATCTCAGCCTCCTCTCACCCCAAATGCCCGGAAATGGCAGAATCTGTGTGTCTGGGAACAAGCGAATGGATGTGTGTGTGGGTGTGTATGTGTGTGCATGAGACAGTATTCAAAACAGGACAGGGTGGACCAGAAATTATGAGGAATCTCTGAATGGTGAAAAGATAGATGGCACTAAATTAAAGCATAAAATTGTAGTCCAAAGTGCACACAGAGGAGGAGCCCTAGCCCAGAGGAAGCAACTCAAGAGCTTCAGGCGAGAATGGTGGCGGCCACGTGGGTCTGAGGAGCAGGAGGGAGGCCTCCGGACAGTGAGAGAGTGGTCAGCTAAGATACTGGCCAGGAGCCTGACTGTGCCAAGGAAGAAGCGAAAGCATCTTCCCCTACTGGAGCATTCCAGTCACAGGGGAAAAGTAAAGACATTTTCAGATATTCAAGAACTCAGATAACTCATGGCTTAAGTTATCTGAGTCCTTATAAGAAAGACTTACTGGATTATGGTCTCTAACAAAATGAAAAAGAAACAGGAAGAAGACAGGATAGAAAAACAGAAGTTGGCAAAGATACTTTTAATAAGGGCTCTTTTTAATAACGAATATGGGGTTTCTTTTGGGATGATGAAAATGTTATGGAATTAGGTAGTGGAGACGGTTGCACGGTTTTTTGTATTTTAAGAGGGTATTTTTTATGGTGTTTATGTGAATTATATTAAAATAAAA